CGAGTGACGTGGGGCACGGCGCGCGCAGCCGTGCGGCGCAGAGCCTGGCTCGTGGGCTCCCCGCGTGGCGAGGCAGGGAGGACCGCGCCGAGGCTCGCCACTGTGGCGCTGCTCCTGCCTGTTGGCCAGCGCTTCGCAGAGTGGCTCGGGTCGTCTCGTGCTCATAACCACCATCGTCCAAGTGACGCCCGCGGCCCTCCCCCTTTTGCCCCCGTCGGCAGGGCAGGCTGGAAGGCGAAGGGAAACGGATGCGCAAAGAGGAGGATGCGGGCTGCTGCGTGCAGACATGTTGTGCCGCAAGTGCCCTGCAGTGGCCCCGAACGGATCAGCATGACACGCGGCAGCGTGGAACAAAGATCGCGCCGCAGCATGGAGCAAGAGACGCCGAGTGCGAATGATTGGAAACGGGGGAGCATGGAGCAAAGAAGGTTCGCCTGTGCGCGTGGGCCGATGGCAGCTGTGGCACTTCGCAAGCTGGGCAGACAGAGATGAGCCCAAATGCTGCGGTCTGGCATCGCACGCTTACGCAAGACCCCCTGCTCCTCCATCCCGAAGCGCCCACCTCTGCCGCACCACACAAGATTTGCTCGCGAATCCTGGGCGCCATTTCCGCATGCGCCCAAAGGCTAGGTATGCGTGGGCGCACGGCTTCAATCTAAGTTTCTTGCACGGTAAGCGAGCATCTTCTTACTCAAACCGCTCGAATGAGAAAACACGCCAACACTACCATTCTCGGTCGACGTGAGAACGCTCTGGGAGAATTGTTCTGGCTCCTGGACCCGCCCGACTCAAGCCTTGGAAAGAAGCTGTTATTCCCAGGTAACCCCACTTTGCGCCCTCGTGCCCCACTTTGCGCCCTCGAGCCCTAGCGCCACCCACTTGGAGAAAGGCAGCCGCGACGCGCAATGCGCGATTTAAATATCTCCGCGCCCCCAGAATGACCTGCCACTGCATAACACGAAGAGGGCCCTGCTGAGGCTAGCAGGCGGCTCCATGGCGGTCCCTGCGTCCGAGCGGTGCAGCTGGACACCGAACCCAAAACACACTTGTTGCTGCTCGGATAACTCCTAGGTGCATCCCCTCCGCGACATCGATGCTTCGGTCATCGATCTTCGAGTGCCGACGAACGAACGACGAACATATCCCCATCTATGCCCTCGCGGTCTGGACACTTCAACGCGGTCCAGCAGAGAGAATACGCGATCTCATGAACACGTGCCGCGCGGCGCATCCGCGCATAGCCGCCACGTGGCCGACTCCGGAATCTCTTGATGTGGAAATGTTGGCATCGATTCACTTGTCAATTCCGCCGCCTTCTGCATGCCTCTAGCCAGCGACTCCGCTGCCGTTTCACTTCCGCCGTAGGCGCGCCGTGCCGAAAACGAGGACCTTTTTCTGGAACGGACTCTGCAGCCACGCCTGGGGTCACAGCCGACGACCCCAAACCCCGAGACAGCGCCTAAGAGGATGTGCTTCGGCTGCCCGCAAGAATGACCCGAGGCAGGAGCGACCCGTGGTGCGCGGATTACACCCTGCGAAATGCTTTAGAAATCATGGGTTAAGAAATTCATAGTCTCAGAATCTGAATGAAAACCCAGAATGTCTATCAAAATCTTAGGGTTTACATTGAAACATTAAGAATAATCGAGACTCTGGCCGAAAACTTAGGTTTTCTTAAGCATCGCCTAAGGTGTAGGGGGGAAGCGCGGGGGGGCCAGACGCGAGCGTTGCAGGCCGCGGCTACCACATCGCATTCAGCGCTCGGAGGACCGTGGCGGGCCGGCACCATAACGGCTCTGGCATCTCTGGGCCGCCCTCGACGAGGCGCAGTTGATGGAAACCACCCCCAGGCCTCGAACACCTTTCGGGTCGGGCGAAAGGGGGGGATAGCAAAGGGGGGGTTTGAGAATCAGCTCACGTAGCTGATTTTCCCGGCGCCTCCCGGCGCAGGAGGCGCCCACGTATCGAGGAATGAGCCCCTCAGTGAGGCCGAAACCAGCTGCATGCAGCAGATTTCGTAACCCCCCCTTTCCCAATCCCCCCCTTTCGCCCGGCCCGAACCTTAGGCACAAGCAGACGAGCATCTGCGAGAACCCAAACCCGATAGCCACGCCAGCAAGCGCGGCCGACCCGACCCAGACCCCAGGCGCGCCTGCAAGGCGCAATGTTTTCATGACCTGAACCCCCGCGGGTCTAGACACCCTCCCCAGGATCGGCGTTTCATCCCGAGCCGCGAGCGAACGGCGACGACCGTGGGCGAAAACTATATTTGTACGCCCGGCCTCGCGGGCCTATCTCATGGGCCGCGACCCCCCGGTCAAAGGGCATCTTTTTCGTGGATGCCTCGCGCGGAACGTATCCGTGGGACAGGGTATCAGCGGGATCGCGCCTCGAAATCAAGACCGCGAGGGCGCGGATGTGGATAGGTTCGCCGCTGTATACACCTAGGGTAGGTGTGTAGGTTCAGGTGTTTGATTCCGCATTTCCTCGTCCAGCTCACAGTGCAAGCCGAGAGAGAAACGAATGATTGTTAGAACCGCAGGGCGCAACATGATTGAGCTGTCTCCCATTTCCCCTTGTCTCTCTGGCCACCTCTCTTGCATGTTGAAGCTGAAGTTGCTTTGAGATTGCCACGTCCTGGACGCACGATGTCCCGATGGGTTCCCAGAAGTCCCGATCCCTTCCCCAGGGCCGGTGTTTCATCCTGGGCCAGTCATTTTACTGTCCCCGCGCCCGGCGAGGGCCCCCATGGGCCGATTCTTTATGTATTTTTTTATATGTATAGAATGTTTTTTTGGTTTTGACAAACAGCTCGTCCTGATTGCTTCACGACGCTCACAGGTCTGGGTCCACCTTGCAGGCGAGGCCCGCCAGAGCTCGGCGTGGACCGCGCGCCTGCGTCGTCCCCACGGGGCGGGCGGTGCGCGGCGTGTGGTCGCCGGCGCTGGCCTGGCGCGCGGTGCGCGGCGCAGGAGCGGCGCTGCGGGCGCCAGCGACCCAGGGCCCCTCGAGTCCTGGAAGAAAGAAAAATCACGACGACGGGCAGCGTTTCCATTTCCGGCCTCTGGGGGCCCTCACCGGGCCGCGGGACTGTCCGACAACGGCGCAGGAGCACAAACCAGTCCTGGGGAATGGGTCGAGACCTTTGGGTGTCGACATGATACAAAATCATCACGTCGGGGGCCTGAGGTGGGGGTTCCAGCTCCGATCTGAGAAATCAGCGCGGCCCTCCGACAGCTTATTCTTGCGTCCTTGTCAATACCTCGAGCTTGGCCTGCGAGCGCGGCCCTGTCCGCGGCCGAACCCGCCGGGGGCGGGGAGGGGATCTCATGCCCGCCACTCTTGGACGCCCCCCCTTGGGCGCACGCCTGTTGTGCTGGCACCGCTTGTATCCATATCCACTGCGTCTTGGAGCGTCGGGCGCCCTTCCCCAGAAACCATTGGCGCAGTGGATAACCGTTCGCTTGTTAAGGGGGCAGATTTCCTGGGGTCAGCGTCAGCGAAGGGCAAACTGAGGAAAACCTATGTTCTCTGGGAAATCCGATGTTCTGAGACAGATGCTGGCCTGGGGGGAAATCCAATGGAATCGGTAAGCGAAAGCAGAAGCATGGCTGTTGGCACACGTGCGGCCCCGAAGAAGGAGCCTCCAGGAATCGAGCATACCTTTCCATGGGCAGGCGAAGGAGATGCGGGTAAACACCCGGCCCCTCCGGAGGCTAGAGCCTTGTCCATCTCCGCTGCGCCTCGGTCTGTTGGCGCCCCTTCCCCGGACATCCGAGACGCAACGGATATGGATACACCCTGCGAAATGCTTAAGAAATCATGGGTTAAGAAATTCATAGTCTCAGAACTTGAATAAAAGCCCAGAATTTCCATCGAAATCTCAGGATTTACATGGAAACATTAAGAATAATCGAGACTCTGGCCGAAAACTTGGGTTTTCTTAACCATCGCCTAAGGTGTACAAGTCTTGCCCGCAAACCTTCGGACTGAGACGTGCCCGCGTCGTTCGCCGAGCGCGTTCCAATGCCCGCAGAGTGCCTACTCGCAAACGTCCGACGAAAAACACCTGTCTGCTTTGATGTAATGTATCGTAGATCCCCCGCGGGTGATCCAGGCCACTTGCGAGCAGTTACTTTGCGAGTAGTGGGACGCGCTCGTCGAGTCGCAGGCAAAACCCAGAAGAAAGGTCTGGTTAACAGAGTTCGGCCTCTGGGAGCCCTCGCCGGGCCTCGCGGCCGTCTGAGAACGGCTCAGGGCAAAAAACGGGCCCTGTGTGGAAGGGGTCGGGACTTCAGAGGACCGCGCGTGGAAAAAATGAGGACATCGCATGTCTGCAAGGCTGGACCTAAACGGTATTTTACGTTTTCGTTTTGTTTTCGTTTTCCCTCGTTTTGTCTTCAATCCGCCTGTGCCGCAAAACGAAGTCGAACGAAAACGGCCCACGAAATCGCCAAAACACCGTTTAGGTCCAGCCCTGCATGTCTATGTGCGTCCGGCACCGGGGAGTAAAAGTGAGGAGGTGCTGGGAGGTCGGAGTGAGAACGGTTATTAAAAACCATTAGGTTGGGGGCCATGGAGCTGGACAAGTTCGCTAGTCGTGGGTGCAATCTTAAGCTGGGACCAAGCGGGGTTAAGCCCAGACAGCTGAGGCGGGTTTTCGACCACGGATAAACCAGCGCCGGTGCTGAAGGAAACCCTCCAAGAGTTGCGTCCTTATTCAAAGTCAAAATCAGGATCCACCGACCCCAGCGCATTGTCAAAGCTCAGTCCGAGGGAGGTCTTCTTATGGCGACGCGCACCAGGGGGTAAGGGAGAGGGGGAAGACTGCTCAGAAGGAGGGTGCTTCTCACAAGGCGCGGGCCCTGCATCTACAGACAAGGCCCGCGCCTTTTGAAAAGCAAGGGTGCTTCTGAGAAGCCCTCCCCCATCCCCCCTGCCCCCCCCCCCTTCTGCGCGGGGCTGGGTCCTCTGGGCCGCGCTCGGGCCGGCCCGTGTGC